ACTTTTTTCTTTCTTTCATTTTTCACTGATTTTTATTGAGCACTACATTTTTCTCTGCTCCCCTCCCTGCCTCTCCTCCCCTTCAGCCTTCCCCCAAGGTCCCCATGCTCCCAATTTACTCAGGAGTTCTTGTCTTTTTCTACTTCCCATGTAGATTAGATCTATGTATGTCTCTCTTAGGGTCCTCATTGTTGTCTAGGTTCTCTGGGATTGTGATTTGTCGGCTGGTTTTCCTTGCTTTATGTTTAAAAACCACTTATGAGTGAGTACATGTGATAATTGTCTTTCTGGGTCTGGGTTACCTTAATCAAAATGATGTTTTCTAGCTCCATACATTTGCCTGCAAAATTCAAGATTTTTTTTTTTTTTTGGATGCAGGGGTTTCTTAATCCCAAAGGACACCCAGATGAAGGCTTTCCTGTCATTTATTACTGACGATATATATTTTTTTTTTCTCTTGGAAAACATTCAACACAGTAAGGTATAATCAAATTGCCTTTAGACTAAGACTGGAGTGTTGATAAACGACTTCCTTCACACTCTGATCCTACACACCCAGTGTCCCCTGCTGGGTTTTGAGGGACCTGGAGAGGATTCATTGCCCTTCTCTTTAGTATCTCTGTGGCAGAACATTTACTTCCTAGGTGGCCGCCTTCTCCTCAGCCTTTCACATTCATAAGGGAACTAATTCTACTCAGGTGGGCTGCCCTCGTTGTCTCACCAAGTCCCCAAAGTCTCACTTCCTGATACTGCTGCACTAGAGATGATATTCCAACACGGAAATTTTGAGCAGACCCAAGCAGTCAGATGATAGCAAACGAGGAAAACAAGAAAACGTGTGGTAAAAGCTTTTCCACCCTCCCCTCTCCTGCGTGTACAAGCAAAAAGCAGTCCTCGTGGTGGTCTCCTCACCTCCTCATCACCAAAAGCCGTCTCCTAATAACTTACCTAGAAAGTCGGCTCCCTCTGCCCTCCACAGGCAATGTGCTGCCTGGACTCTGAGGCAGGGCCGCTTGGGAGTAGGAGCCCATTATGATATAATTAAGAGTCAGGAGAATCATGTGCAGAGGGAAGGCGTCATAAAACAGCACTGTGACCCTGTAGACTTGTCAGACCCGGGTGGGGAACGGAGGATGAAGGCAGCGGGGCTTGTGGGATGCCTGTTTCAAACTGCATCGCGCGCGCAGCGAAGAGAAACACGATGACTGAGGGGGAACGGAATGCCAAAGACGTCTTTTAAACGGATACACTGTGTAGTGGGGCATACAAGGTAAAGCCGAGCTCTTCCCCTTGGTTTTCTTGAACTGCAAGTCTCTAGGGTGTCTTCCAGCTCTGTTCTTCTACTAGTGCATCTCAAGAAGACTAAATGGCTCGGCAGTGGTGGCACACACCTTTACCCCAGCACTCGGGGAGGTGGGGGCAGAGGCAGGCCGATCTACAGTCTGAGTTCCAGGATAGCCGGGTCTACATGGAGAAATGCTGTCATGAAAAAATAAAATAAAATAAAATAAAAATAAAACCAGACTAAAGAATACACAAACCACGGGAAAACAGAAAATACAAGGATAATCAATAGAAAATGACTTCTACGAACTCACGAATTCCACAAATGTGGCTGCCTGGTAGGCAGCAGCAATGAAAAAGCAGTCTAACCAGAGGCCAGGAAACGCCAGCTTTTTTTCAATAAAAATTTTTCTGTGTTTTTAAAAAAAATATACTTTTATATCTAAGTCTGCCCTGTCCGCTGCAATAAACACCGGTCACACAGGCTAAAGTTTTATCAGTTACCTTCTGCCCAAAGGAAACCCCTGTTTCCTTTGAATGAACTGCAATAAACAAGCGTGTAATTGGAGACTTTTTATAAAAGGCTAAATCATCCCCAAACTTTTAAACTTCTGTCATGGCCCTCCTGGGTTAGACTGAGCTTGACTAGGTGTCGGGTAGAAAAGATGTTCATGAACTGAGAGAAACTGGGCCCAGAATCTTCTCAAAACTTGCATGCATGTTGGTGACTGAGCTGAGAGGGTTTGAGAGGCTCAGGGGGTGGGGGTCATTGGGCAACCCCCTCTTTTTCCTCCTGGTTCCTCCAGACGGGCTCTCAAACATAGTGATGTCAGAGGGATCAAGACTTAACACACTGTATTTAAAGGTTCACATCACTGCCCATTGCTACATCCAAGGCTGTCACACCAGTGTAGCAGAAATGCTGACTGGACGGGCAGGTGTTGCCGGAGGATTGGGATCTGTGCTTCTCGGAGTTGTGTTCCAGGCAATCCCTTGGCAATCAGTTGTGGTATAGTGCCACCTGAGTCGCCATTTTTACTGACTCGACTTCGTTGTCCTTGGAGCCATATATGTGTGTCTTTTTCCTTGTCTTTGTGTTCTTTGTGATTCTTGCATAGTGCCAACAGATCAGACTATTCCAGGCAGTTGCGGATACAAACAAGACTGCTGAGGACATTTTGAGCTCTGCCCCACCATTCATTAAAGCCTTAAAAGAAATAGCCAGTTCTGGGAACTGGCAGGGTCATCATTAGGATAATTCCTTGATGATGTGGAACAAAAGGAGTTAATTTTACTAGGAAAAACCTTAGAAGCCTTAGGTATTTGCCTGGGAAAAACATGCAGTTGTAAACAGAAGGCCTATGAAACCTTTCTCGTGGGAAGAAAAAGACCTAACCTAAGCTGACAACATCTGAGCCTGAGAATTGAGAAGGGAGGAGAGTTGAGGTCAGTGATATGGAGTGAGTTTCAGAGAGGTTCGAGACTATGTCTTAGAAATTTCCTAGCAGAAAGTTTTCCCAAGAAGATAGTAGCCTTCTTCTTTCCCACCCAGGAGCACAAGGTCACTTAGCTCAAACCAGCCAGCCACCTGGTGCAAGTTGATAAAGATAGTCTAGCTCAAGGGCAATAGTCTCTCTGAAGGCAAGAAAAAAGAGTTTATTTTACAAAATATGAGAGAGCAGAAGTCCTTGTGCCCAAGTCAAAGCATCTTCAAAGATTCTTTTTGTAAACTGTTTTGTGCTGATCTTTTCTATTTTATAATCTGATGATGTATGCCTTTGCCAAGTTCTTTGTTTGAAAAAATATATAAGCCTTACACTAATTGGAATAAAGTTGCAGCAGCATTGCTCAATCACATTGAGAATGACTGTCTGTCATTTCCTCGCCGTATTCTGAATTCTCCTGAGCCTTCGTCCTGTTCCCCCACGGTCTGAGTGGCTCACTTGAGCCGGTCCATGGCAGCCCATGTTATATTCTCGCAGCTAGAGAGCCACGTGGGAGATTCCCATCTTTGATGACATCATGGGTTCTTCAGCAACACAGAGACCACCTTCTCAGTACAGACAACGACAACAGCTTATTTGGGAAGCAAGGGAAGCTTCCATAAGCCTCCTCTTGAATGGTGGGATGTTTGGGGACCATTTTGAAACACAGTATCTTTCATGCAGAAGAGAGTGGAAGTAAGTGCGCCACACACAGAGCCTCATTAAAAATAAAACCCAAAGCACTTGACCCGCCTCCCTCAACACACAGTTCAGCAGACTCTAAGGCTGGGACTGACCATACTAATGATTGCTGGGAGAAGAAACTTAGCCTCTTTTAGGGGCATCACTGTGTGTTCATCCCACTGGGCATGAGTCTATCACTGCTGGGTGTATAGAAGCCAAATGACTGAAGTGTAACAGGCAATTATTTGCTGAAGATAATATAATGCAATGTATCTTTAAAATAAAAGTAGGGGTCTGGAGACAGGGCACAGTTAACAAGGTGCCTGCTGCTTACACTGCTGTTCCCTCATCAGATCCTCCACAGCCCAGCCCCAAAGAAATCTCACCATGACATAATTCTTGTCAACAGCCTCATATCCTCTGAAAGAAGGATTATCAGAAGGGGATTTAAGGGCAGAAATGTTTCTTATAAAATGATCTTAAGGTCAACTCATTAATGGGCTGGGGACTGGGATCAAGGAAATAATGTATCCAAAGGCACAACATGGAACCCAAGAAATTATTTTATTTAACTTATTTATTTTTAATAGTTTTTAATTGAAATAGAATTACATAACTTTCCCCTTAACATTCTTCCCTACCACCTGCGTAGGCTACCTTCCCTCAAACTCCATTTTCACGTTGATTGCTTCTTTTACTTTGGTTATTGGTATCATAATATATGCATGTGTATATATGCATTGATATGCACAAATATATATATATATATATATATATATATATAAATCTGTTTTTATTGATGTGTTTATGTAGTTTCAAGGTTGACCACTCTGCTTTATTGTAAAATGAGTGACGGGCTCTGTCCCGCCACCTGGCTCCCTGCTAGCTTTATCCGAAATAATTACACGGAAACTGTATTCTTTTAAACACTGCTTGGCCCATTAGTTTCAGCCTCTTATTGGCTAACTCTCACATCTTGATTAACCCATTTCTAATAATCTGTGTAGCACCACGAGGTGGTGGCTTACTGGGAGGATTCTAGCCTGTGGCTGTCTCAGAGAGGAGAATCATGGCGACTGCCTCACTTCCCTTCTTCCCAGCATTCTGTTCTGTCTACTCCACCCACCTACGTTCTGACCTATCAGGCCAAGCAGTTTCTTTATTAATTAGCCAATGAAAGCAACAGAAATACATAAGACTCTCCTACATCACTTTATAATAACTACCAAGAGGTCTTTCTTTATCAGTTCCAGACACAATGAACTAAGAGGCACAAGCCGGAGAGAAGCTGGGGCTGGCTCCTTTGTCTTGTGTTGGGACTGGACACATGAAGCAAAGAGGTTAGAGGACACAGAGGGAGGGGCAGGAAGAGCACTGGTTTCAGGAAATCAGCCAGCACATCCCGAACAGGGATGGATGTCAATAAATTAGAGAAGCAGAAGAGAGACCCGTTTCAGAGTCCCTGACCAACTTCCTCAAGGATGCTAGAGTTCAACCCACGAGGAAACAATAAAACGACAAGCCCACACAGCCACGAGGAGGCAAGGCTTTGTATCTAAACAAAGTACTTTAATTTGGTTTAAGTTTTGTACATCTTCATGGAGGAGCGGATTCTGGCTTTTTATTTTCCTCGCTGGTTCTTGGTCTTCTTATTTATGTTTTCTTGCAGCACCTGACTTTAGGAAGGCCACAAGTGCCAATCTGTCTAAACCCTGAACCGCATGGGCCCCAGCATATGCCTCCATTGGTGATGCAAGTTATAGGATTCTTGACTCTTTGCGTAAAGACTGAAAGATAAGGAAGAGAAACCACATATTAGAGTTGAAAGTATCATGTCAAAAATACACACCCATGTGCTGTTATCATGAACAAATTCCAGCTTTTTTCTTTTTTTTTTCCCCAAGGCTAGGATGTCTGTTTCATCAGGACTGAAGCCAGCTCTTGCTAGAGAGTGGTGCTGCTGCTGTAAGCTGCTGCTGGCTTTCCTAGGACCCAATGTGGAAGAGTCTGATCCATAGCTGAATGACTAAAGCTCCAGGGCCACCAGGCAGGAGCTCAGCAGATTCTGTGTGAGTCCCCAGCTACTTCACAGCAGTTCTGCCTCTTCTTCTGCACACAAGCCCCCTTGTTCTAGTCTCAGACGCAGCCACTGGGGTATGAGTGTATGTATGTGTGCATGTACATGTGTGCACACACATACAGAGACCACAGGTTGGTATCACATATGTTCAGCAATTGTTCCCACCTCAGCTTTTGAGACAGGGTCTCTCACTGTGCTCAGAACTCAGTGAGTAGGATTTTCTGGCTGGCCAGTGACCTCCTGGGATCCTTTCCAGTGCTGAGGTTGCAGATGTGCACCAGCTTGCTCTGCTTCTGCATAGATGCTAGGGATCTGATGAGCTTGCCTGGCAAGCACTTTACTCATGGAGCCAGCTTCCTACTAAGGTGTTTAAACTTTCAGGTGCCTATTTTTACCAAACGATCTGACCTGAAGCTCAATGTATAGGACTTATTTAATGATAACTTGATGCCCAAGTATTTCTACAATAAAAAATAAAATCAATCAAATAAAAATTTTTGATAATTTCTAAAGTCTAAAATTAGATTTTAATCTCATCCTTCCTTCTTTCCTTCCTCCCTTCCTCCCCATCTTCTTCACACTCATCTAAAGCTAGACATAGCAAGTGTTTGATATTTCTTGGTCCCCAGATGCTTCTCTGCAACCAGAACCCATGAATGAAATTTGGTTTTTCTTTCTACAATTTATGTCTAATGCAGTTTCAGGCCTTTACTTCTTTCATCTCATTTTCTCTCTCATGTGGGTTTTGTTTTGTTTTGTTTGTTTTGCTTTTTGGTTTTTCAAGACACAGGGTTTCTCTGTAGCTTTAGAGCCTGTCCTGGAAATAGCTCTTGTAGACCAGGCTGGCCTTGAACTCCAGAGATCTGCCTGCCTTTGCCTCCCAAATGCTGAAATTAAAGGTGTGCACTACCACCACCTGGCTCTCTCGTATGTGTTTTAAGCCCTTCTTTTGAGTTTTCTATACCTTTTATTCTGTTTGCCTATGTCAAGGGTGAAACACAGTCTTGAAGCTGGAAAGATGACTCAGCAGGTAAGAGTAGTGTATACTGCTCCTGCAGAGGACCTAAGATCAGTTCCTAATACCTTATCAGGCAGCCCACAACTGCCTATAAATCCATCTCTGAGAGATATAATGCCCCTTTATGACCTCAAGGGTACTATACTCCTTGGCACACATCAGTGTGCACATATTTTTTAATTAACCTTCCTACAAAATATAATTAAGACAGGGCTGGGAAAGAAGAAGAGAATAGAGATTTAAGACAGATGAGGTAAAAATAAGAAAAGAAGACAGGACATGGGAAGAAAGGGGAAAGGAGAGAGAGGAAGGAAAGGGAGGGAAGGACAAAGAGAGACAGGCAGGCAGACACAGACAGACAGACACAGGCACAGAGACAGATAGAACACAAAGAAAGAGACATACAGAGACAGACACAGGGAGAGAGACACACACAAATAGATAGACACACACAGGCACAGAAAGAGACAGGCAGACACACACACACACACACACACACACAGAGAGAGAGAGAGAGAGAGAGAGAGAGAGAGAGAGAGAGAGAGAGA